CTGCGTGAGGGAGACAGTATCGGCTTTTTACCCTCACGAACTGTAATGGAAGTTAGTTACCAAAAGGAAGTTGTAAATTTTTGCAACCAAAGTCATCTAACAAGAAAAGGCATGCAGAAAACGTGGGGATGCTCTGCAGGTGCATGAGAAACTCACACTTCGAGTATAAGATCTCGTTCTTAGCGAACGATCACCTCTCAAATGGTCTGACAATAAGAAAAGATCTGTCCATACAAATAAAAATTATGCATTAAGGATGTGTTCTCAACAAATGTTCGCTATAACGCTGATCTAACGAGAACGACATTCCCGAACACTATTGACGCATATGAAATAGGTATATTGTATTTCATTTATATTCACTCTTTTTATTAATTTTGAAACATTCCAGGGCAAAATATTGGCTATGGCTGTAACGCTGCTGTTTACGCTTTGAAGGTCCGTGATGGTAGAGAACCAAGTACTTCATCTAATCTAGGTAGCATTCAGAACCGCAATTTCCCTGAAGACGATTCTCATTCAGTACAGGTGGGTTCAAATGTAGATGTCGTCTGTCTCTCCATGGCACCTTTTGTTACAGAAATATCCACTTGCTCTGAAATTGATGTATAATTTCGCCTTGGATTTGTGCCCTCGACTAGGCGACAACTACCTATGGCGCTCTATGGGTGCTGAACTTGTACCATTACCAGAAAGTACCATTATCCTGAACGGAAGGATGGGCAGGTAGTATTTCGTGTCCCCATACAACTGTCAGTTTCTTACTTTGTGGTAATATCTGTGTTCAGGTACAAGCCCTTACCTGCTTTTCACCCAAATGTTGTACGAGTACTTACTGCATTCGTCGACCGTATGCCGATTTTGGAAGATGCTAAATTGGTATATCCTGACGCACTTCCATCCGCTCCGTTCTATGAGATGATCATTAATGAACCTAGGACGATGTTCGTCGTGATGAAGAGGTAATTTACTTTCAAGGGGGATCCACTATTTTTTTTCTTCACTTATTGATTTGGTACAGTGTCTGTGACAACATTTGATCAAAGCAAACAGGCACCATAGGACAAACAAATACCGAACTATGCTTGAAGATTTTGCTACCCACTAGCTATGGCCCTTCTGAGAGTGCTTTCATACTTTGCGTTAGCGTTTCGAGCGACTAGGAAAGTACACATATCGATGTTTTCAGCGAATGCCGGAGAAACCTCAGAATACTGAATCGATTCATACAGGTTTTTGACTGCTGAAATGCTGAGTCCGCTCGAAACGCTGACGCAAACCATGAAGGCACCTTGGAGGACGCCAGAGAGCCCTTGATGAATGAGGTTGCGAGATATATAAACATAGATATGTAAAACCAGCTCTCACAATGAAGAATTCACGCCCAAGGGTAGTTTTGAGGCATACTTTGCGTCAACATTTTGAGTGACTAGGGAAGCATAGATATCGATTTAGCGTTTTTAGCGACCACATGGATTGTAGCATACTGTTGGTTCGGAGATCGTTACCGATTTACCTTTATCCGCGTTATGTTCAGGTATCGCATGACATTGCGAGAATATGTGAAGGATTTTCGCAGAAAACGTAGTTACCACGTAGCTCGTGTTTTGTTCGGCCAACTGTTGGAAGGATGCGTGTTTCTCTACGAAAATACCGTTTCGCAACGAGATATGAAGAGTGACAATATATTACTAGAATTCAATTGTCCGGGTAAGTGTTTTCTGTTTAGTCGTGTTTTCAAATCTTTTGAATTTGTGTTTCTTTTTGTTTCAGACGAAGTGTCCTACACCTGCTGTGTTATTTTCCCGACTTTCGGCTTGTGTGCTTTAGCAACTGGTAGTTGGACTGTGAAGTACGCAGATGACACTATCGATCTCGGAGGAAACAGGAAAACGAGGGCGCCTGAGATTGTCAATGCAAAACCGGGTCCTGATAGGTAAGGGATATTGTAGGATTCCAGGCCAGATTTCAACCAAACTTTACCCTTGGAGATTTATTTGACTATTTCTGTCCTGGAGCCTAGCATTAATTCCCCGAATAATCTTCATATTTGGCTGAAACAAACCAATTGAGCTTTTGTGCTTGAAGTCGCAAAGTGACCTCGATAGCCCTCACGAGTTCCACCGAAAACTTTTGGCCACCAATTCCAGGCTGACAGCTTGAATATGTATAGTTGCAGCCAAGCAAGCAAAAAGCTGCCGTTGAGCCTCTAGGCCTCCATGGCACCTCAACTTCCCCTGTGAGCCTGCACGGGCCCCATTCGACTTTGTGTACAAAACAGATGTGAACATTCGCGGTATCTGGGAGTCAAAACTTTGTCGCGAAATCGGTGTTATCTGAGAAATTTTCGATTAAAATGTGAAGATTTATGAGGGGAGGCAGTAAAGCGTGAAGTTGCTAATGTTGTAACTCCCCAGAGGTGGTTTGACTCCTTATGCACCGACAGGTATGTTTGGCGCAAAAAAGGAATTGACTGGAGCAGTATATGACTTCTGATACCCAATTTGCCAAAACTAGTCCTGGAAGGGTATTGTTCGTGTTTATTGTTAAAATTTTTCCAAACTACAAGTTCTTCAAGGACGAGTATTGGCCCAGACCTCAACAAACAGTACTCAATGGAATACACGCAAGAGAGGCATTCTTTTTCAGTGTTGTTGATTTCCGCATGGCTGATTCATGGGCTGCTGGAACTCTTGCCTATGAGATATTCACTAGGTGCGTGCTGTTAATATTTTTGTTTTTAGATAATTTTAAAAGTGAAAGAGTTTGGCGGTGAAAGGTGCCTTAGTTTTTCTTTCTTTAGAGGTGATGGGGTTTTAGTGCTCACTGAATAGATATTTGGGCGCAGATAGGCTTGGAGGGGTACCAAATAGGACTAAGCAGAGATTGTGAAAATCACCTAGTGAAAACGTGTAACTTTCTGTAACCCAAGTGGTTCACTTTTGCCATTTCGCAGCTTCACAACGCTTTGCAGGTGTTACCAATGTCATACCTGACAGTTAACATTTACCAATAAAGAACTAGCAGAAAGAATTAGCAAGGAAAACGTTCCCTCCCCTTCCCATGCCGAAGAGCGCCGATTTTTGTTGTAAGAATTGTACCAATTATTCCGCCTCTTTTCAGAGTGAACCCTTTTTACTCTCGTTTGGACAGTGCCACCTACAAAGAAGAACACCTTCCGAATTTGTCCCCTTTCATTTCAAAACCAATTCGTGACATTGTTCACCACCTTTTGCGAAGAAATCCCCAAGAGGTAAGAACAGATGCTTTGCAGTACGTGCAACAAAGGTCCCCATTTCAGTAGGTCTCTTGTAAGGCTGCGTTCATACTTTGCGGCAGCGTCCACCAGCGACTACTAGCG